GCCACACCAAACAACTGCCAGGCCATCAAATGCTAATCAGGGTGGTCAGTTGAAACATTCACACCTGGCTCCAGCAGACAAGAGTTCTTTGTCTCACCCTGGACATTATTCCACAGATATATGAACACAATTTTCCTACTTCCAACAGACCTCACTACCTCTGAGGATGTTTGCCATAGATCCAGGCGAAACGTCAGGAGAGAATGCCTCTAGAACATGGCCATATAGCCCGAAAAAACCTACAACCCAATAAGAAGATACTTTGTAACCCCCAAGCATTGTGAACCTGTGGCTGTTACGAATTGTGGGAGTTGGAGTCCAAAACACCTGGAGGGAGGGCCCAAGAGTAAGGCTGAAACCGGTCGTGGATTCCTATGCAACTCGCGACCCCTCCAAAATGGCCAAGAGACCCCCCTAGGGGCCGCGACCCCCAGGTTGAGAACCACTGGCTTAGAGTAAGGCCGAAACCGGTCGTGGATTCCTATGCAACTCAACATAAGAAGACACAACGTTGATACCATTTCAGAGTGACTACAAAAACTCATATACTGTGAAATTGAACAGTATATCAAGTTTATACAATTATATGTTGGATCGTCTGCATAAGTGGGATATTTATTGAGCTGGACCAGAGAGGAGTCATTTTCTCAGTGCCGGTGGCAAAACCTGTGCCCCCCTTGCACGCCTCACGGTGCTCGGAAAATGGACGAACTGCCACCAGGAGTGGCCATACGGGTTCCGAGTTGTGGCTTCCTCTAGCACAGTGGTTCTCAACTTGGGGTCCTCAGATGTTTTTGGCCTACAACTCCCAGAAATCCTAGCAGCTGATAAACTGGCTGAGGTTTCTGGGAGTTGTAGGCCAAAAACATCTAGGAACCCCAGGCTGAGAACCACTGCTCTAGTCAACTCAGAAGAGGGCTACTATACATTCAATGCATCCAGTGTTATGTTGCTTTGTGTTGCCTAGCTTGCCTCCTAGGGAAAATGGTTTGAACTGGGAGGAATCAAAGGAATTTCGAGGTCTGCTGTAATTTTCCAGCAACCGCAGCAAACTTTTGCCATAGTTGAGCCATTGGAGAAATATGGCCAGATCCACCTGGGCTTGCAGCCCTAGCTGGATCTAGAACCGAGGTCCTCAAACTACGGCCCGCGGGCCAGATACGGCCCTCCAAGGTCATTTACCCGGCCCTCGCTCAGGGTCAACCTAAGTCTGAAACTACTTGAAAGCACACAACAACAACAACAACAACAACAAGAATCCTATCACTTCCCATTGAAATACTAATAGGTTTATATTTGTTAAAATTGATCTTCATTTTAATTATTGTATTTTTAAGTGTTTTTTTGCACTACAAATAAAATATGTGCCGTGTGCATAGGAATTCATGCATGCTTTTTTCAAATTATAATCTCGCTCTCTTACAGTTTGAGGGACTGTGACCTGGCCCTCTGCTTAAAAAGTTTGAGGACCCCCTGTTCTAGAACATGCTCTAGAACCTGGAGCAACAGAGAACGCAATCTGGGGTGGATGCTGCCTGTCCAAACCTATGTATGGAAGAGCCCAGGGTGGAGGCAGCTTGTCTCTCTGGGGCCAGCCCAAGGGTTTATGCTAGTTAATAGATATGTGCAACCATGGTTCTAAATCAGTGGTTCTCAACCTGGGGTCTCCTAGAAGTCCTAACAACTGGTAAACTGGCTAGGATTTCTGGGAGTTGTAGGCCAAAACACCTGGGGACCCACAGGTTGAGAACCAATGTTCTAAATGGTTCTAAAGTACTTACAAAGCTAAAGTTCTGGTGGTGAAAACTAGGGGGCGCTGGTGCTTTGCTTCTACAGTGTTGCTAAAGTTCTGGTGGTGAAAATTTCAGAACTCTAACACAACTTTCAAAATTTCGTTATTATTATTAAAGTACTTACAAAACTAAAGTTCTGGTGGTGAAAACTAGGGGGCGCTGGTGCTTTGCTTCTACAGTGTTGCTAAAGTTCTGGTGGTGAAAATTTCAGAACTCTAACACAACTTTCAAAATTTCGTTATTAAAGTACTTACAAAACTAAACTTCTGGTGGTGAAAACTAGGGGGCGCTGGTGCTTTACTTCTACAGTGTTGCTAAAGTTCTGGTGGTGAAAATTTCAGAACTCTAACACAACTTTCAAAATTTCGTTATTATTAAAGTACTTACAAAACTAAAGTTCTGGTGGTGAAAACTAGGGGGCGCTGGTGCTTTGCTTCTACAGTGTTGCTAAAGTTCTGGTGGTGAAAATTTCAGAACTCTAACACAACTTTCAAAATTTCGTTATTAAAGTACTTACAAAACTAAACTTCTGGTGGTGAAAACTAGGGGACGCTGGTGCTTTGCTTCTACAGTGTTGCTAAAGTTCTGGTGGTGAAAATTTCAGAACTCTTAACAAAACTTTCAAAAATTTCCTTATTATTTCATTATGAATACCTACGTCCCGCCTCGGAGTTTCAGATCTTCTGGGGAGGCACATTAATATTTCATTATTGGTGGTTTTTATGACAGAACCTATTAGGAATTGCCATTTATAATGAAATTTTGAAAGTTTCATTATTATTATTATTATTAAAATTTCATTATTATTAAAATTTCATTATTGGTGGTTTTTATGACCGAGCCTATTAGGAACTGCCATTTCATAGAATCATAGTTGGAAGAAACCTCCTGGGCCATCATCCAGTCCAACCCCATTCTGCCAAGAAGCAGGAATATTGCATTCAAAGCACCCCCGGCAGATGGCCATCCAGCCTCTGCTTCAGGGCAATTGGGAAGGGAAGGGAGCCATTTTTAGTTAGTCTCAGTAAGGAAAGCTAATGTAGAGAATGTGTACAAGCTTCTCCTGTACAAAAGCTTCAACCCTTAAGATTTTCCAGGGGAGAACAGTCTTAAGAGCATCCAAAGATTTCCAGGGAAACAGCCCTAAAGCTTTGAGGAATTTCGGAGGGTAAACAGTTTGGAAGACCAAAGAACTCCAGCTGGAGAATCTACTGGCCTTACTGGTAGGTCCACTCGGTGCTCGAGACGCAGTTCGACCCGGTAGTGGAGCCCACATCATAGAATCCTAGAATCACTAGAGTTGGAAGAGACCTCCTGGGCCATCCAGTCCAACCCCATTCTGCCAAGAAGCAGGAATATTGCATTCAAATCACCCCTGACAGATGGCCATCCAGCCTCTGTTTAAAAGCTTCCAAATAAGTAAATGTAATAATGCCAATAATAAAGTAAAATAATAAATGTAATAACAATAATACTAAAGTAAAATAATAAATGTAATAATAATAATAAATAGAGTAAAATAAATGTAATAAAATAATAATAGAGTAAAATAATGCAAATGTAATAATACCAATAATAGAGTAAAATAATAAATGTAATAAAAATAATAATAGAGTAAAATAATAAATAACTTTGACTCGAGTATAAGCCGAGGGCAGCCTTTTCAGACTAAAAAAAGGGCTGTAAAGCTAGGCCTATACTCGAGTATATACAGTATTTCATTATTGATGATTTTTATGACAGAACCAATTAGGAACTGCCATTTATAATGAAATTTTGAAAGTTTTGTTAGAGTTCTGAAATTTTCACCACCAGAACTTTAGCAACACTGTAGAAGCAAAGCACCAGCGCCCCCTAGTTTTCACCACCAGAACTTTAGTTTTGTAAGTACTTTAATAATAATAACGAAATTTTGAAAGTTGTGTTAGAGTTCTGAAATTTTCACCACCAGAACTTTAGCAACACTGTAGAAGCAAAGCACCAGCGCCCTCCAGTTTTCACCACCAGAACTTTAGTTTTGTAAGTAATTTAATAATAACGAAATTTTGAAAGTTGTGTTAGAGTTCTGAAATTTTCACCACCAGAGCTTTAGCAACACCGTAGAAGCAAAGCACCAGCGCCCCCTAGTTTTCACCACTAGAACTTTAGTTTTGTAAGTACTTTAATAATAACGAAATTTTGAAAGTTGTGTTAGAGTTCTGAAATTTTCACCACCAGAACTTTAGCAACACTGTAGAAGCAAAGCACCAGCACCCCCTAGTTCTCACCACCAGAACTTTAGTTTTGTAAGTACTTTAGAACCATTTAGAACCATGCCTACTAATTAAGTAGAGGCTCGATCCTAATCTTGCAAACATCTCCAGATCTTTTGGCAGGGTCCAGGTTGCAAAATCCAAGGGGAGGGGGGTGATACAGCTATAGTGAAGCCCAGTTGCGTGGGTGGGGTCCCGTTCGTTTGGGGTCTCTATCAAACGAAGACCTCCCCGCTCAGGCACTTGCATAACTTGAGGTGCAGCTACTCCACCCTCGGCACCAGAGGCGGCCCTAGGTAATTTTCAACTGTAAGCAAACTCACTGATATATGTTTTCTGTTTGTCGTGGGAGTTCTGTGTGCCATACTTGGTTCAATTCCATCATTGGTGGAGTTCAGAGTGCTCTTTGATTGTAGGTGAACTATACAACTCGCATATGTCAAGGTCTATTTCCCCCCGAGAGTGCTTGAAGAGCACCCCTGGGCAAAACCAAGTGTACCGCGACTGCTTACTCTGCGTAATGGGTTCGCCGCCCCTGCTCGGCACCCAAGGGACCTTCACCATCGACGGCGGAAGCCACACACGCCATGCCAGGAGCCAAAACATGGCCAAAATGTCATCTTACCAAGGTTTTGACAAGGGTTTGCTTTGGATTGTTGATTTGCAGGCACTTCACGGGTTCTCGCGCGACCTGTCGTCCCTCCCTCAGCTGCCTTGATCGTCCTGGTTCATGAAAGTCTCTACCTCTACGATGAAACACCACCTTTGCGCATTTTTTTTTGTATTCAACCTCGACAAAAACTCCTACATGACCATCTCAAATGTAAACCTACAACTCTTCCACATAAAATCAAGTCAAAACCCAAAAAACATTCCAACCAGCCTACCGTCTACCACAAGAAGAAGAAGAAGAAGCCTGTCCTCGTCAGAAGAACGCACATTAAATAGCTTTGGATCCAAATGAAAACGTTTGTAAAAAGCGAAATTACAAGCATGTGAGAAGCACGTGTGTGTGTGTGTGTGTGTGTGTACTTTGTTTGTGTTTGCCGTTGCCTGCTTCCTTTCCAGCCCAAACCCGGGATTCAGACTTTTGCATTTTCTTGCGGTGGAGGCGCTTCCGCAGTCTGTGGTTCTAGGACGGAATATTTCACTAAAGAGAAGAGAAGAAAGAGGAGAAGTCGGACATCAGCCCACAAGTAACTCAGGAAAACATTGCAAACACAAAGTAAATATGGCCTCCTCGCAAACAATTCCATCTTTGGATTGTCGAAGGCTTTCATGGCTGGAATCACTGGGTTGTTGTAGGGTTTTCGGGCTGTATGGCCATGTTCTAGAACAGTGGTTCTCAACCTGGGGTCCCCAGATGTTTTTGGCCTACAACTCCCAGAATTCTAAAGCTATGACCTTAAATCCCCCTCCTCCCCCTCCTACCTCCCCCCCCCCCAGCAGTCACCTTTAAAGCAAGCACTTTCCTCCCTCTGCAGTGGTTCACCTGTCCCAGATGTTTTTGGCCTACAACCCAGAAATCCAGCCAGTTTACAAGATGTTAGGATTTCTGGGAGTTGAAGGCCAAACACATCTGGGGACCCCAGGTTGAGAACCACTGTTCTAGAAGCATTCTCTCCTGATGTTTCGCCTACATCTATGGCAAGCATCCTCAGAGGTCGTGAGGTCCGTTGAAAACTAGGACCGTAACAGATATATCAACCCAATTTTCCTAGTTTCCAACAGACCTCACAACCTCTGAGGATGCTTGCCATAGATGCAGGCGAAACGTCAGGAGAGAATGCTTCTAGAACAGTGGTTCTCAACCTGGGTCCCAGATGTTTTTGGCCTACAACTCCCAGAAATCCCAGCCAGTTTAACAGCTGTTAGGATTTCTGGGAGTTGAAGGCCAAAAACATCTGGGGACCCCAGGTTGAGAACCACTGTTCTAGAGCATTCTCTCCTGATGTTTCGCCTACATCTATGGCAAGCATCCTCAGAGGTCGTGAGGTCCGTTGAAAACTAGGACCGTCAACAGATATATCAACCCAATTTTCCTAGTTTCCAACAGACCTCACGACCTCTGAGGATGCTTGCCATAGATGCAGGCGAAACAGGAGATAATGCTGCTAGAACAGTGGTTCTCAACCTATGGGTCCCCAGGTGTTTTGGCCTACAACTCCCAGAAATCCCAGCCAGTTTACCAGCTGTTAGGATTTCTGGGAATTGAAGGTCAAAAACATCTGGGGACCCCAGGTTGAGAACCACTGTTCTAGAAGCATTCTCTCCTGACGTTTCGCCTGCATCAGAGGTCGTGAGGTCTGTTGAAAACTAGAACCTTCTACAGATATATCAACCCAATTTTCCTAGTTTCCAACAGACCTCACGACCTCTGAGGGTGCTTGCCATAGATGCAGGCGAAACGTCAGGAGAGAATGCTTCTAGAACAGTGGTTCTCAACCTGTGGGTCCCAGATGTTTTGGCCTACAACTCCCAGAAATCCCAGCCAGTTTTCCAGCTGTTAGGATTTCTGGGAGTTGAAGGCCAAAACATCTGGGGACCCACAGGTTGAGAACCACTGATGTAGAACATTCAAAATTATTTGGGAATTTATTCCCTTGCACAGGAAAGCATCCGCAGGAGGTAGTGGTGGCTCTTTCTCCCACCCTGGATATTCCACAGATATATCAACCCAATTTTCCTAGTTTCCAACAGACCTCACGACCTCTGAGGATGCTTGCCATAGATGCAGGCGAAACGTCAGGAGAGAATGCTTCTAGAAAATGGCCATACAGCCCGAAAAACCTACAACAACCCAATTGCATTTTTGTGGACAATTCTGGTATGCAGTGTGATAAAAGCACCAACTTATACTATTAGTGCTTCCCCCCACTTTACAGACTCTTGGCTCTGATATTATTATTTGTTATTATTATTATTATTATTATTATTATTATTATTATTATTATTATTATTAGAAACACAACAAGATGCCACAGCAGACAAGATCACTCTGCTGGCTGTTGTATTGGATCACACGTCGGACACTTCCCAAGTGTCTAGGACTGTGTGATGTATCGGCAAATAATGCGTGCAGATCCCAGTAAGGTGGCCTTCTGCAGCTGGCAGATGGTAATTTTGTCAGTACCGATTGTGTTTAAGTGCAGGCCAAGGTCTTTAGGCACTGCACCCAGTGTGCCGATCACCACTGGGACCACCTTTACTGGCTTGTGCCAGAGTCTTTTTTTTCACAAACCCCAATGACATCTAGACATTTGATGATCCAACAATGTGGCAGTGAGTCAAATGCTTCATCATCATCATCATCATATTTTAAACACAACAAGATGAGTCCACAGCAGACACTCTGCTGGCTGTTGTATTGGATCACACGCCGGACCCTTCCCAAGGGTCTAGGACTGTGTGATGTATCTGCGAATAATGTGTGCAGATCCCAGTAAGGTGGCCTTTTGCAGCTGGCAGGTGGTAATGTTGTCAGTGGTGATTGTGTTTAAGTGCAGGCCAAGGTCTCTAGGCGTTGCAGGCAATGTGGCCATCACCACTGGGACCACCTTGACTGGCTTGTGCCAAAGTCTTTTAGTCTTTGCAGTTCTATAATAATAATAATCATTATCATCATCATCATCTGCAGTTGTTAGATGGTAATTTTGTCAGCACCAATTGTGTTTAAGTGCAGGCCAAGGTCTTCAGGCACTGCACTCAGTGTGCCCATCACCACTGGGACCAGCTTGACTGGCTTGTGCCAGAGTTTTTGCAGTTCAATCTTTAAATCCTCAAAAATGATACAACCAAATTCCTCCAAAATAATAATAATAATAATAATAAGAAGAATTATTCTGCTAGGTACAATGACACAAACAAATCCCTCCAAATTATTATTATTATTATTATTATTATTATTATTATTATTATTATTATTATGTGAAGTGCAATGATACAACCAAATCCCTCAATAATAATAATAATAATAATAATTATTATTATTATTATTATTATTATTATTATGCGAGGTACAATGACACAAACAAATCCCTCCAAATTATTATTATTATTATTATTATTATTATTATTATTATTATGTGAAGTGCAATGATACAACCAAATCCCTCAATAATAATAATAATAATAATAATTATTATTATTATTATTATTATTATTATGCGAGGTACAATGACACAAACAAATCCCTCCAAATTATTATTATTATTATTATTATTATTATTATTATTATTATTATTAATCAAATCCCTCCAAGTTATTATTATTATTATTATTATTATTATTATTATTATTATTATTATGCGAGGTACAATGACACAAACAAATCCCTCCAAGTTATTATTATTATTATTATTAGTATTCTGTGAAGTGCAATGATACAACCAAATCCCTCAATAATAATAATAATAATAATAATAATAATAATAATAATTATTATTATTATTATTATGCGAGGTACAATGACACAAACAAATCCCTCCAAATAATAATAATAATAATTATTATTATTATTATTATTATTATTATTATTATTATTATTATTATGTGAAGTGCAATGATACAACCAAATCCCTCAATAATAATAATAATAATAATAATAATAATAATAATAATTATTATTATTATTATTATTATTATTATTATGCGAGGTACAATAACACAAACAAATCCCTCCAAATTACTATTATTATTATTATTCTGTGAGGTGCAATGATACAACCAAATCCATCCATTATAATAATAATAATAATAATAATAATTATTATTATTATTATTATTATTATGCGAGGTACAATGACACAAACAAATCCCTCCAAGTTATTATTATTATTATTATTATTATTATTATTATTATTCTGCGAGGTACAATGACACAACCAAATATTACTAATAATATTACGATATAGTGGTATAGTGCAATGTCTCCTATGCTATTCTAATAATATAATATATTGTATATACATATAATATTTATAATATAACAATGTAATGCAATATAATAATAATATGATATTATAATTATATATTTATATTGCATGTAATATGACTAATAATATTACGATCTAGAGGTATGGTGCAATATAGCAAGGTTTAATGCTAATAATATAATATATTGTATGTAATATATACCTTGTAAGCCGCTCTGAGTCCCCTTTGGGGTGAGGAGGGCGTCATAGAAATGTCGTAAATAAATCAATAAGTAAATAAATCAATAACAATTAAGGAGAAGGAATTAATCAAGATGCGGGATAGGAAAACTGGGGCGATTGATGTGGTGGGAGGGACAGGATGTTCCTTCGTTCTCACAGATTCTTGTCCAGATGCGGTTGGACCTTCCTGTCTAGGTAGTCCTCTGCTCCATTGGCCAAGCAGCCTGCTGGCAACGTGGACAGAGATGCATCCTCCACTTTTAGGTGGCATTTGGGTGATGTTTTGGACAGGAAGGATGCCATCATGCCATGGACCTAGAGGCCACATGGAGCTTGCATGCTCGGAGCATCAAACAATTGGTTGACAGCCCTTCTAGCAGAGGAAACATCTCACCTTGAGGTTCTTCAGTCACAACAGCTTCCATGTTCTCTCCTTTCACGTACTCTGCGTTCAGGCCCTCTGAAATTAACAAAGAGCGGCAAAGGCTGTCAATCAAATCACAAGACCTGCCAATGTAATGATTGTATGCCAGCTCCAAAAGGGATCACAACAAGGATTGTCGAAGGATTTCAGGGAACAAAAACAGGGAACAAACTTCAGGCAGGGTCTACCTTTTATTTTATCATCCCGCCACTTGCCACCATTTGAAACGAATGCACAGTGGGATCTCTAACCGAGTGATTAAGAGAGAGAGGATTTGTTTATGATGAAACAGTAACTCAGTTTATTTGTAGCATTCTTGTGGCAAAAGCGTAGTGGTTACGCAGGATCAAATGCTTGCTGATTACAGAACGTTTCAATATGAGTTTCATCCAATCTTTTCCTTTATTCCCAAAAGCACTGTTCCACTAATACATAAAAACAAACGTCACGCTATCTTTAACCTTTTTTTATCATGTCAGGAGCAAACCAAACAGTTGTATTGTCGAAGGCTTTCATGGCCGGAATCACTGGGTTGTTGTAGGTTTTTTCGGGCTATATGGCCATGTTCTAGAGGCATTTCTCCTGACGTTTCGTCTGCATCTATGGCAAGCATCCTCGGAAGTAGTGAGGTCTGTTGGAACTAGGAAAATGGGTTTATATATCTGTGGAATGGCTGGGGTGGGGCAAGGAGCTCTTCCCTGCTGCAGTTAGTGTGAATGTTTAGCTGATCACCTTCATTAGCATTTGAAGGCCTGCCTGAGCCTGGGAAAATCTGTTGCTGGGAGGTGTTAATCTGTGCCTGGTTTTTTCCTCTCTGTTGTTTAGCTGTTATAATTTTTGAATTTTTTAATACTGGTAGCCAGATTTTGTTCATTTTCATGGTCTCTTCCTTTCTGTTGAAATTGTCCACATGCTTGTGGATTTCAATGGCTTCTCTGT